CCTCCTCTCCACTCGCTTTTCCTCCCCTCCTTTCCCCTGTTCTCTCCTCCTTTCCCCTACCCTCCCCCCTCTCCCTTACCCTCCCCTCTTCTCCCTTCCCTCTCCCCTCCCTTCCTCACTCACTTCCATAGATTCTATGTGCCCCTTTCGATTGCCAGGTCCAGTAATTCCTAGAGACAAGGATAAAATTACCGCCATACCTTGATAGCTTTAGACGATGAGAGGTACCAGTATGAATGATTTTTCAGTACAGTGCGTCGACGCTAAAGAAGCACGTCGCGGATGGCGATTATTCAGAGGAACATCCACTTGTGGACTATACACCTCCACAGTACATTAACTTACTCGTTACCGATCTAGGTATTTTGACACCAGCCGCTGTTGGCGATGAGCTTCTCAAGCTTTATGTATGAGCCTGGAATTGTGCAATTTGTTATGTTGATCTCTCTGCATGTTTTGTAAGTTGCCATATGACGAATCGTTGTTATGGTGTCTTTGTGGGCCTATTCCAGTTTTCTGTCGTGGCGTAATTGTTTCAGTTATAAAACTGGAACTAGAAAATGAAGGTGGCCAACAGGGAAATGAGCCATTCTAAGGTCACAGTGAATTTCTTGACTGTACCCACATGGCAAGGGTACTGGTGTACAAGATACTGCAGCACTTACGCTTGAATTATTGTATTGCGAATGTGCTTATGTACACAAAGGCTGTACGAAATTACTGATTGAGCGCTTGGATGTATGCAGAACCGTGGCGCTTCTTTCAGCAGTAAACCTATTACACCGTTGGGTACCAATGGTGGTACTACGGTGACTTGAGATATTCCTTTTGCCTTTTTTCTTACTTCATTTTCTAATAAATATACCGATGCAGTCTACTTGAATGCTTCTCGCACAGTTAATTTTTTATATCAAAAACTGAGTCATTCAGTGGGGAAGATACTCCCATCTTTGTAGGTTAGGCCGATGTTGCTGGCTTCATTGATCTAGACACAGGCACTTTACATTATTCGATAAATGTAGTAAAGCTTTAGGTGGATTATATAAAAAATGCCTGAAGACGAATTTGGTGTGTTGTGACGGAAAAAACTCAAATCAAAAGCGTGCCGGCCACCGGTACAAGGATGCGTTTCTTGCACAGTTCCCCCGCAGGTTTTTTTCGCCAGTGCCACGTTCTTTCCGGCAGATGCTTCTGGGACTGGCCACTACGACTGTTAGAAATTATTACAATGACTCCCAATCCATGCCCAAAGAATTCAGCGCACCGGATGTTTCGGTTGCGGGGTTACATCAAATCTCACGTGTTCATGCGTGAGTGGCAAAGTGAATGATTTTGCCTGCGGTTGCTCAAAGACGGTCCTGGGCAGCGCTCAGAAACTTCCAGCACTCAAGCCATTCTGGTTGCGGAGTTACGTCAAATTCCACGTGTTCATGTGTGAGCAGCAAAGCGAATGCTATCTTCGCGTGCATTTGCTGAAACAAGGCCATAGGCAGCGCTCAGAAAGTTTTGGCACTCCAGCTGCTGCGGTTGCGGGGTTACGTTAAATTTCACGTGTGTACACGTGAGACATGAAAATGTTGTGTAAGTCGTTTTTGCGTGGATCTGGTCAAAGGCCATCGTTGGTTATGCTCAAAAAGTCCAGGTCCTCTGACAGATTCAATTCTGAAGTTACGAAAGGACATGCGCTAAATTTTCGCGTGTTCGTACATGAGATGCAGAAAAGCTGGCAAGTAATTTGCTTTCACGAGCACAACAGTGGGCGGCAAGTAACGCTGCAGAATTGCAGCTCTTTGCAGCTTATTGATCAGCTTAAATTTGGAGCTGGCATGATGTCAGTTTAAACTTTAACGTGTGCGCACGTGAGACCTGGGGGTGCGTGAAGGCTGAATTTGAAATGTTTGGATTAGACTCTGTAAAGTTTCAGCCTCCCTAGCATGGGCCGTTCCCGAAAACGCTTTCTCGCAAAAAAAGACTTTCACGTGCCCGTACGTGAGAACTATGTGGACCTGAGCGTCCATTTTGAGGATACGAGCCCGCACGTATGTGCAGATTAAGTCGTCAAATATTCAGCCTTCTGGCTTTTGTGGATCTCAAAATGAAAACTCGTTACAGACGCGCATACAGACACACATACATACGCACACACACACAGACAACTCCTCGACAATGTGCGTTTTTGCATTGCACAGATGCAATAATTGGCCAGCGCACGGGCTGCCCGTGTGAAGATGCGTTTTTGCATGGTTCCCCGCAGTTTTTGTCGCTACCAGCATCGGTTTTTTCGGCAAATGCTTCCAGCTAAACAAATTAATACTGGCCGCCAGAACTGGCAGAAAAAAACCCTTTAAAATTTCAGCTTCCTAATTTTCCTGGTTCCTGAGTTAGCAACTTACTGGAAGAAACTTTCACGGGCCCGCACGCGGGTACCACGCATACCCGATGTCTGGGTTTGGGCTCGTTGAAACTTACTTGGACCGGGGACATCCTCTTAATGTTACAGTCTTCTAGCTTTTCAGGTTCTCAAGTTATGAACTTACCCGAGGAAAACTTTGGTGAACCCGTACGTGGGTACCACGCATGACCGAGGGCTGTGTTTGAGCTCGTTGAGACTAATGTGGACGAGGAACATCCTTTTGAAATTTCAGCTTTCTGGTTTTTCTGGTTTATGAGTTATCAACTTATCCGGAAGAAATTTGGCGGGCTCGTACGAGGTTACCATGCTTACGCGGGGGCTGGGTTTGAACTTGTTTAGACATGCGTGGACGAGGGGCATTCCCTTAAAATTTCAGCTTTCTAGCTTTTCTGATTCGCGAGTTAGCAGTTTACCCGTAAAAAACTTTGGCGGGCTCTTACGTGGGAATCACGCGGATAAGAGCGCCCATTTTGGGGATGGTGGCCCGTACGTGCATGTAGATTAAGTCCCCAAAGTTTCAGCCCTGTAGCTCTTGTAGGTCTGGAGATGAAAAATCGGTACAGACGAGCAGCACACATACAGACACACACACACATACACAAAAACACGCACACAAACAACCTCTCGTCAATATGCGTTTTATGCATTGCATAGCTCCAAAAAACGCAAAAAAGTGAAGTTTGGAATATTAAAGCAGATGTGATCGGGGGACTGCTGATGAGCAAATCAGGCGGTATTTTGCACTGCCAACTACCTTGTGCTTTTGAAAGAGCGTACTTTTGTTTTGGCGAGTGTACCGAGTTCCTGAGAAGTAGATGCGGCTAATGATCTAACTCTTCATTTCTTTCATAAATCATTGGCGACGCGTACCAGACAGGCTGGTGCGATCATGCGTTTTTACATTATTTCGTGCCGTGGTAAGATTGCCAGAACTCTCACGTGTCCGTACGTGAGACACGCCTGCTCTCACATACCGAGTTTGAAATCTTTTGGCTGTACGTGAGTATGAACATTCCTCTAAAATTTCAGCTTCCTAGCTTTTCTCGCCCCGAATTAGCGATTCTCTCGCCAAAATTCTCGCGTGCTCGTATGTGAGAATAGAAGTGCGTAATAGTTTATGTCACATTCCTCTGGTAGCACTAGCCAAGGAGCATACCGGCAAAATTTCAGCATCAGCGCTTGCGTGGTTGCTGAGTACAAATACCTGGACAGACGAAGACACACATACGGACAGGATTGTCGCAGTATACGTTTCCACTGTCTGTTGCAATGCTCTAGCGCTGCACGGTAGAAGCGCATAAAAACTGGGATATTATACGACAGTTCCCGACAAATGGCGTGCTGAAAAATGTCTGAAGCGATGTCATAAAGTTAGCTATGCTCGGTTATTGTACTACGGATTAGGTTCATTAGTTGCAACGCAGTTGTATCATTAAACCATTTTCGTGGTAACTTTGAATTCGAACAAATCACATATCAAGAATACCAAGACGCTCGAACTATCAATATAGGATTCCTGTCTCAGTCATATTACCGAAATGCTCCGACACGCCGAGTGCAGCTATGCCATACTGTTCGAATCTGGGCTGCTCAATTCCAGTTACTTCATGCATGTAAACAAACGAACAAACACGCACAGACATTTGTAAATAAACTCCCGTTATGTGTTTTTATCGTGAATTATCTATACGGGAGCATATTTTGAAAGCGAGTTTTACCCACTTTAAAGTAAAACTCAGTTTTCGGTGGAGTAATTTTACTAGTGACATTATCATCAGCAAGTTTACCTGCAATATTACACCCTCTGACTTATGGTTTTTTTATCGTCGGTAATCCAATAGTTCGCTCTCAAGAAAGCCTTTTCACATCCAACACCTGGGTGGTCCAAT